GCTGAAAGGGAGGGGCATTCACACTCAGAACCAATGTGCGCTCTAGGTGGGTGGCGAGTGCCTCAACATCTTGTGCCTTGAGTCCTAATCCATGTACTGAGCCATGAACAGTCTCCTCCCCAGGCCCCAGGAAGGTGAAGAGAGAGAACCACATGCAAAACCTGGGGAGCCTCTGGTGCAGAACCGATGCCAGGGAGATGCAGGTTCTCATCCCCACGGTCTCTCCTCCAACTCTGCTGTGGCTTGCTCATCCCCACCATCTACAGACCAAAGCTATACTCAAGCGGTGGCACCCTTTTCCCACCTTGCCCCTCCCTGAGTGTGTATCTACCTACAGAAAGGAAATGATCACAAGGACATGGGACTCTTCTGAGGCTCAAATGAGGTAGGGCGGGAAGAGACCAGGTCTCTGTGTCCAGACCACAGTCTCTGTGACCAGGAACCGCACCTCCTCACAGCCAGGTGCCAGCCCCTCTCTCCCTGCAGTTCTGCAGTGACCTTCCTGCCTGGGCCCCTGGCCTGGCCCTGAGGATGCCTGCCCTGGCCTGTCACGCAGCCCTCAGCATCAGGAGCCTGGACTCCGTGCCACTGCAAGCTCCTTGAGGACAGCATCACGTCATTCACAACTCCCCAACTCATGATAACAAGCACATCCAAGAAAACTAAGACATCCGCCTAGGCTGAGACCTGTGGGTCCCCCGCCCATGGCTGTCTTAAAATTTAAGACTTAACTAATCTATCAGGTGCGATCCTCTTGTTTTTTTCAAGAGCAAAGTGACATTACCGAGGGACAGTGCTAGAACGGGGCCAGATGCCCCCACTCCCTGCAGTGACTTACTTCTCCCTCCCAGGCAGGGACAGAGAATGTGAGTGACCTTCAGGGCTGGCTGCAACCTCAAGGAGAAGAGGATCAGGGCACTCTGGCCGAGGCAAGGAACACATTCCAAAGCCGACAGTCAGTAGCTTCAGGGACGGGCGACCTGCTAGCAAAACCACCGGCAGTGCTTACCACGGAACCGCACGGACAGCTGGGAGAGCTGGCCACGGACAATCCAATTCAAGCCGACAACAGTCCTGGGACCAAAGAGACCGCGTGACCATGAACAAGGGCAGTGATAAACAGAAGGGCCCTCAGAAGGCACTGACCGTGGGCTCCCGGAGTCTGGATTATGGTGAGGACTGGGGCTGTCCCACAGGACTTGGAGCACTTGGAGAAGCAGTTCACATCTGGGCTGTCCAAAACTTATGGTCGCCATGAACCACATGTGGCTACTAAGCCCAGAACTGAATTTCTCATTTTATTTCATTTCAATTCATTACATTTAAATAGTCACATGTGGCTAGAGGCTACTATTGGGCAGCACAGTCCTAAGAAGAGTCCCATGTCCTTGTGATCATTTCCTTTCTGTAGGTAGCTACACACTCAGGGAGGGGCAAGGTGGGAAGAGGGTGCCACCGCTTGAGTATAGCTTTGGTCTGTAGATGGTGGGGATGAGCAAGCCACAGCAGAGTTGGAGGAGAGACCGTGGGGATGAGAACCTGCATCTCCCTGGCATCGGTTCTGCACCGGAGGCTCCCCAGGTTTTGCATGTGGTTCTCTCTCTTCACCTTCCTGGGGCCTGGGGAGGAGACTGTTCATGGCTCAGTACATGGATTAGGACTCAAGGCACAAGATGTTGAGGCACTCGCCACCCACCTAGAGCGCACATTGGTTCTGAGCTAAAATGCAAGACAATTTAAAAAATCCTAGAGAGTAGCAGAGTGTTGCAGAAAAAAAGCAGGTCTCATTATTGCTGCCTTCACCACTAGAAATCCCCCAGGAGCCCTGTGAACCCCAGGTCCCCATCAGTGGCGACCTGCACATCCTTCTCTTCCAGCTCTGACCACCTGCAAGTGGATCACAATCTCTTAGATTTGGGCACTGGAAACCCAAGGACCCTGTGGCTTATCTCCAGGGCCTCTGCTGGTCCTGGCTACTCGCCCCAGTCCTGACACCAGCCACGCTGTAGTTGTCCCCCAGCAGACAGTGAGCCAACAACAGGCACCAGATGGGACCTCTCTCTGTACCCCCAGCACCTAGAAAAGCGTCTGGACACAGCAGGTGCTTGGGGAGTGAAAACTGGCACTCATACTACCACCCTTTGTGTGCTTACTGCGCATCTGCCTGGGGAGGAGCCTGCAGCCACCATCTCACTCATCCTCACTGCCACGCAACAAGGGGGTGAGGCGGTCTCCTACCCCTGCAGGAACCACAGCTCTAAGGGGTTACATCACTTGCCCAGGGCCACACGGCTGACAGAAGCAAAGCCATTATCAAACCCAGAACCTCCAGCTTCAAAGGCAGGCTCTTAATCTCTAAGCACTGGTGCCTCCTACAAACCCACTCATGATGGGGGAGTGGAAGGGAGAGAGGAAGGGGATGGGACGAAAAAGGGGAAGGAAATGTGAACTGGGCCACCTGAAGTCCACCTTCAGAGGACTCAGAGCAATGACAGAAACAAAACCCTAAGTGGCCTGAGACTTCTGAGTCACAAAGCACGCTGGAAAGTGGGCCAATGACCCCTCCTTCTTGGGGCCTGAGTCTAGCCGCCCTCATGACTTTCCACAAGCAACAGGGCACCGGTGGGCTAAGGGCAAGGCAAACCATGGTCCGGGAGGCCAGGCTAGACCCGGCCACTATCCCTCAGCAGCTCTGTGACTCTGAGCAAGTTCCTGCCTTCTCTGAGCCTTGGGGGGATAAAAACACATGACAGTCCTCATGGATTAACATGGCAGAGTGCCTGGCACATGGGACTCAGTAAGTGCCCACCTACCCACCGGTGAAGTACGCCCAGTCCATCTCGAGCTGCAATTGGCCTGTGCTCAAGGTGACAGCCCCTCAAAGGACCCTGGAGCCTGAGGCACCTCCACAGCTGTGCAGTCTAAGCTGTGGATTTCACAGCAGAGGAGACGGAGGCTTAGACTCACCCAAGGGCATCGACTCACGAGCACCCAGACCTTCCTGCTCTACCAGATGCTATCGGAGATGACTTACAGGGCCCTTTTTCCACAGTTGAGAGAAAAATCTTCAGGGCAGATCTTGGGGACCAATTCTTCAGCCCTCTTAATAAGGGTCATGTATGAACTTTACAAACATTGAGGTGGGGAGAATGAAAGCCTTCAGAAGCACTGGGAAGAGCCTGGAAAGGCCCTGGGGCTGCTGGACATTTTTTTTTTAAGTCTTACAAAGGCAGTTCCCCAGGGCTCTCTGTGAAGGGACCTCACGCAAGGGTCTTGAGGCCACCGCTGGGTTTTCCGTCACCGAAGGAAAGATCCATATGCTTACTCTCTTTGTTAAAAAGTCTAAGGTATGCTTTTGTTTGTCTTTAAAAGGTAAGTTACAAACCAGATAAGAGTTCTGGTTATGTAGAAAACTTCCTTAAACTACTGCTCCATGCCCCAGCAAGGTACCCAAAAAGGCCGCTGTAGAACTCCACCCAGCCCCCGATGCAGGGCCCCTCTGCACACCTCCCGCAAGCCCCAAGTATACAGCTTTCCCAGGGAGCCTCCGGGCCTTTGCCTCCCCCACCCCTTCCAGCTAATTAACTTTGCCCCCTCCATCTCCTCCCGCACCACAATTTCTCATCTGCAATTCCAAAATCCCCAAGAGCTCCCCAAACCAAACTTTTCACAATTCATTTGGAAGCAAACCTTTTCCTAAACTGACATAGGCTACTTTTAGTCTTTATGGAGCCCACTGAATGTAGGGATCTGATGTAGAGCTCCACACCCAGCTGAGGGTCTCACAGCATGCATGGTATCTATGACCTAAAATCTGGAAAGTTCTGATCCCCGCACTCATGAGGCCCCACAGTTTGGGCGAGGAGCAGTGGGGCTGCAGGAGAAAGGAAGTCCCTGGCCACATCAGGAAGCCCAAGCACGTCTTCCTTTCCCCCTTCCAAGGACAGCCCCTTCCCCACCCTTCCTCAGACAATCAGGCCTACTTGGATGTCTGGGCCCTGCATGGCTGTGACAGCCAAGCCTATAGCTCTTCCAGCGAGCACCTCCTCCCCCAACCACAGGTCCAACACGACCTCCAGGCAGGCCACCTTCTACAGGCCACCTTCCACACCAAGGGCGCACCACACAGTCTGCATTCAGGTGTCCCCCTCCCTTTCCAATTCAGTGGCAACAAGGGCAGCTCACAGGTATGTTCCGAGAACAGGAAAGCTGCCCCTTTTCCCTATTAACCTCAGAAGGGGCACTACACAGTAATCTCCCACATCAGGTCCCGGGCACAGAGCAGCCTGGCATGAAACCCCCGCTCTGCCACTCACCCGCCGTGTGACCTTGGACAAGCCACTTCCCGGGTCTCGGTGCCCAGACTGTAAAGTGGGGAAGGCCATCCCTTCCTTACTTGGTTTTGGGAGTATTACATCGGCTGACGCTGGCAGGTGTGAATGCCCCCGGGGTTCCTGCGGGACACCTGGGTGATGGAGGCGGCCCCGAAACAAGGGAACACTGGGCAGGCTCTCTGGGAACGGCTGGTCCCATCCCCCACCCAATGCCCACGCAGAAAACGAGGGACCTACACAGCCCTGACGCCCATTTTATACCCCTTCCCAGCTGATCACCACGATCTCGCACTCATCAAAGGCTGAACCGGGTCCACGAACAGAGAGGTTAAGTGAATGTCCAAGGTCACACAGCCAGCCGGGTAATGGCAGGGGTAGCGGCCCTGGGCCTTTCCTCCTGACAGCTCCAGCCAAACAGGCTCCATCCCCAGGACGCTGTCCAGCATTAGGCCCCGGGCTCACCTCCGCAGCAGTCGGACCTAGGTTTCTCTAAGGCGGGCCGACCACCCCACACCCCGCCCCGTCGGGTTCTGGACACGGGACGGACGAGGGGCACCAGGGCGAGGGCGACCACCCTGCCGCCGCCCTCTTCGCCCCCGACGGGAAGCCCCTGGCGCGCGCGCAGCAGCCCCGCGGGCGCTGCGGCGCCGGGCGGGCGGGGCTCACCGGACTTGGGGTAGGTGACGATCCACACGTCGCTGGGCCGCACCGGGAAGTTGGCGATCTCCTCCATCTTCCCGCGGCAGAAAGGCGGCAGCCGCACGCCGTGGAACTCGAAGTACTTGCTCTCGAACTCGCCCGGGGTGCTGGGGGTCTCGGCCTCGCTCTCCGCCATGCCGCCGCCCGGCCCGCGCCGCCGCCCCGCGCCCCGCGCCCCCGCCCCGCCGCCGCGCGGAGTTCCGCAGGCGTGACGTCACGGCGCTGCCGCGCCCGAGCGGCGTGCGGGTTGCGCCCGGCGGGCATGACGTCATGGCCCCGCCCGCCGCGCTCCGGCTACTCCGGAGGCGTGACGTGTGGGCCTCCGGGCGCGCCCCGCCCACAGCCGGCCTCGCCCCCGCCGCACGCAGACCCCTGTCCCTCCTCGCTGGCGCTTCGCCTGCCCGCGTCGTGCGTTCCCTCATCAACCCGCTGAGTCCGTCGTTCCGCAGGCGCTCCGCACACACTCATGAAACACTCCAGCGGGAAGTGGCCGCAGAGATTCATTCATTCCTTCAGCAAAAATTTAGGGAGCATCTGATCCGTACAGGCACCAGTCCGGGTTCCCAAGATCCGTCAGGCAAAAACCTGGCCCTCTCGGAGTTCACACTTGTAAGTATCCAAGGTAATTTCGGGTAATTTCATAGGCGCTTTGAATAATATGCTTCATAATCTCCTGTGGGTAAAAGGAGGGTGTTCCTTGCAGATTCCAGAGCCAACCCCAGACGAAAAGAGACAGTCTTGGGAGCGCGCCCCCAAATCTGCAAGTAATAAGGTACTCCTCATGCAGACTACAAATTGAGAACAACAGAATTCTAAAGAGGTTTTAATATAACCCTTTATCCAATCATTCATTCAAAAACATATTAAGCACCTAATACATGAGTCCTGGCCCAGTTCCCTGAGGCTTGGTGTCCAGTGCTGTGAAGAAAGAATGATAATCTCTACCCCTACGTGCTGTAGCCAGGAGGACAGAGGTAGATAACCACATCAGCCAGGATGGGAAGCGAGCAGGTGGACAGGACCTACCCACTCTCTCCTCGCTCTAGGCTGACGTATTTGCCGTCTGGCAAGGAAGACACGCATGAGCAGAGAGGCATAGGCCATGTGTACACAGTGGACAGAGGAAGGGAAGCAATTAACTAACTCGGCAGGTTTGTGGATGTCTTTACAAAAATGAAAGAAGACGGTCCAAGCACCTGAGACGTTATTAGCAACAATCGGGTGATGGTACAGAGACAGCTTGCCAAAGACTGAAGGAATTGAGCAAATGAATGAATGTGTTCCTGTTTCAGATGTGTATTCTCACCATAGGAGAAGGCAAAGAAAACCCTGTGGTATTGGATTGGAATATGAAGTTTGACATGAATTTGCTATTTTTTAAAAATACGTATTTCTTATTTTTGCTGAAAAGTCCTTTAGGCACTGGCATTCCAATAAATTCTAGACACACCCAGTGCCCAGATCTGTTTCTAAATACTTCCCCAGCAAAGGGAACCGGGTTTCTTGTAGAAAAGGCTAATGCAGGGGTGGGGCAAAGAAAGTACAAAATGCACCAAAAATATACTTTGGGGCAAAACAAAAAAGTGTTTTTTTAAAAAATGATGCAGATAGGACACAGGACACAGGAGCTAGCTTGAAAGACCAAATTAGGAACAATTTGCACATATTACAAAAAATTAGAAACAAATGTCCATCAACAGTAGACTGCATAAATTGTGATATATTCATATAATGGAATACTTACTACATGGCAGATAAAAAGAATTGCTGGTGTAGGTGAATTTCACAGTCAAGGTGAGAAACAAAAGAAGCCAAACCCAAAAGGCAATATGTTGTATGATTCCATCCATCTGCAGTTCAAGGACAAGCAAAAATCATCTCTAGTGACAGGGGCCAAACAGTGCTCATTTGTAGCAAGGGAGGGGTTGACTGGGAATAGATGTGAGAGCACCTCCAGAGGGTTGGGAACATTGTATCTTGCTCTCAGTGTGGTTATATGTGACATAGACAAAAGTATAGGTAGAAACAGATGTGGACATAGTTTTTGTTAGAGAGAGAGAGAGAGGGCTGTTTCATGGTCATGCAACCAGGGAAGCCCTGTGGTCAGAAGGGCCTTACTCTTGGGGTTTCATACTCTGTGGTCACCATCTTGAAATTCTTACTAATTTTATCTCTGAACTTGTGCTTTACAAGTGAAGGCTGATGGGGCAATGGAGTGTGTGCTGAGGGCTTAGAACCTCGGCTCGTGAGTGATCCCATCTCCTGCTACCTTCCCAGGACAAGTACTTGACGGCCCACTCCTCTGTCCTCCAGTGTTCCAACCCTGGCCAACCTCTCTCCTTTCCCCTGCCCAGTGACCATGGGGCCTTGGCACTGGTGTAGGGTCAGCTCTGATGCTCCCACCTCATGGCATCTCGGAGTGAGACATTATAGAAGCCATCTCTGTCATCTCTGACTTAGACTGGCAGCACCACAGCACGTTTGGTGCATGAATCAGCAAACGTGAGCCCCTCTCCCACCACCAGTTCAGGTACCAATGTTTCTGGTGTGGAGACTGGAATACCCTTGGGGCAGCAAGCCCGTGGGAAGGGGCAATGCCTGGTTGAGTTACTCACTCCCAGGGCACAGTGTGTCAGTCCCAGAGCCAAAAGGAGGAAACAGGCAGCCAGGGGGCTATTCTTGGAATCATAGGGTGGGTCCCCCAGGCTCCTGTGAGGGTCTGCAGGTGCCCACAAGTATCTCAGTATTGGAGAGAGTGACATTAAATGGAAAATAAAAAACACCATGACAGGTTGAGAGAGCAATTGCAAAAGAAAGGGGGAAGTTTTGTATTTTCTTAACTTTAATGGTGTTTTTTCCCTCTTTATAAATAAGAGGTCCTACATTTTAATCTTGTGCTGGGACTGGTAAATTATGTCCTATATAGATGCATATAAAAAATTGAGGTTTACACTTAAGATATGTGTATGTACACTATACCTAAATAAGAATTTACTGTGTATGTATATATACATTTATACCTAAATGAAAATATTTTAAATGGGTATTTTTTAAATGAATTAGGAAAGGACTAATAGGGAAAAAAGGGCCCATGATTCCACACTGAAACTAAGAAAAATGAATGAATGAGGAGAGGAGAGAAAACTCTTCTTTCCAGTAAAATGGCAACTAATAAATATAGAAGGTATGATGGAGTTATAAATCATCACTTTGCAGCCATCATACTATAATTACTCATATAAGTATATCATTCAAAACTAAAACCATCACTGGGTGAAGATTTGTTGGGGAAAATATTTTTCCAGTCTCAGTGCTTCTACCCACAGATTACTTAACCAATCACAAAGAAATAAGGATAACTTTAGAGTGCAGAAAGCTGACATCTAAGTGATCAAAATAAACATTACCTCGCAAGGCAAACTGACATCTTGTACCTCCTGATGTGACTGCTAGAAACGCTCGGGCAGTTTTCCTACCAAAATTTCATATTCTGGACCTAGGCTGAGGAAGATTCAATAAAACAGCTGACCTGTACTCTTCAAAATGTCAATGTCATGAAAGACAAAAAGAAAAGCTGAAAGAACTGTTCTAGATTAAAAGAGACTAAAAATATTTGATGACTAAATTCAAGGTGTGACTCTGGATTGGATACCAGATCACTGGGGAGAAAAAAAACCATAAAGAAAGTTACTGGGACAGTTTTAATGTATGAAGACAGACTCTGTCTTAACTGGTAATATTGTATTCATTTTTTTAATTACTTGAATTTTAAAACCATACTGTGGTTATATAAAAGAATGTTCTTATCTTCTGCATCCATGGATGTTTTGCTGCCCTTGTCTAGCTTGGATTAATACTTAGTCTCTTGCATCTACCTACCACTTTAGCATTTTATTTAAAAAAAAATAATAATAATAATAAGGGAGAAATGTGGGATTCACATATAAATCAAGTATAAAAATCAAACGAATAATAAAAAAAAAGAATGTTCTTTTTCTTAGGAGGTACATGCAGAAGTATTTGGAGGTGTTGAGTCACCACATCTGCAACTTACTTTCAAATGGTCCAGAAAAAAAACAATTGTAATACTCACGTGAGTGCGTGTGTATATACACATTGAGAGAGAAAGAAAATGTGACAAATGGCACAACTGAAGAATGTAGGTGATGGTGAGTGTTCGTTGTGGTATTAGTTTTCTATTACTGCTGTAAAAACTACCATAAACTCAGTGGCTCAAAATAACATGAATTTATTGTCTTAGAAATTCTGTAGCTCAGAAGTCTAACGTGGGTGTCATTATGCTAAAAAAAAGTGTTGGCAAAGCTGCATTCCTTTCTGAGGGCTCAAGGGATGAATCCACTTTCTTGCCATTTCCAGCCTCTAGAGGCTGCCCACATTCCTTACCTTGTGGCCCCTTCAGAGCCAGCAATGGCCTGTCTAGTCCTTCTCATATCGTATTACTCTGACACTGACTCTTCTGCCTCCCTCTTCCACTTTTAAGGACCTTTGTAATTATATTGGGCCCACCTAATAATCCAGGATAATCTATTTTAAGTTCAGGTGATGAGCAACCTTAACTAAGCCTTCTGCAGCCTTTGACATGTAACAGAATATGTAAATTCCCTTTGACATGTAACATAACATATTCACAAATTCTGGGGATTAGTACGTAGACATAATTTTTTCTTAGGGAAGGGGTGTAATTCTGCCCACCACAGTTGTATTACTTCTTGTAATTTTTCTAAAGGTTTAAATGTTTTCAGAATAAAAATCTAAAAAAAAATATTTGTTAACAGGGAAAATTCTGTGGACCCCACATAAAGGCTACCAGAATAAATAAGTGAGATTAGCAAGATCACAGGATACAAAGGCCAACAAACAAATATTTATTCTATTGCTACATACTGGCAGTAAACAATTGGACATTGAAATTTTTAAAACACCATTTGCAATATGATCAAAAAAATTACATGCCTTGGATTAAATCAAAGAAAATATGTGCAAGATTAGTACAGCAAAAGCTACAAAACATTGATGAGAGAAATTAAAGAAAACCTAAAGAAAAGGAGATATATACCATATTCATGGATTGGAAGACTAAGCGTGATTAAGATGTCCATTCTCCCCCAATTCACCTATGCAGCCTATGCAATTCCAAGCAAAATCCCAATGGGCTC